CTCTCATACATACCTCATTGTTGCCTGACTCTGACCACTGTTGCTGCTGCCATCTTTCAGTCAGAGAAAGTCAATGATGTGAATAACAGATACAACTGCATATGTGGGTCAACAGTTTATGGGGTGCTTATTCAAAAGCTGGTCTGTTCATCAAGAACCCTTCAGCAACAAGAGCATCCTCCTGGATCTTGAAGCTTTCTTTTTTTTATAAGATATTTATTAAAGTTTCAAAAATAAAAAAGGAGTTACAATAGTAATAATAAGAAAGTATAAAAAAAAAGAAAGAAGAGAATACAAAATACAAAAAAGGAAAAACAATTAAAAACAAATCAATCTTTCCATATCTTGTCTTTCATTCACTTGTTTCCCTGACCTCCTCACACCTCCCCTTTTTGTATTCCAGTTCAGTAAGTTAATTCAGCAAATCCTTTCCCTCTTTGTTTTTATCTTAGACCTTTGTCTTAATGTGTAATAACTGTATATTCTCATCTGTTAACAGTCCATTTTTACATACTCCTTGTAGCATTGCTACTTAAAACCCCTTAGTTTCATTCCAACATCATTCTAACATTCATTAATTTTACAGTATTTCTGTAGATAGTCTTTAAATTTCTTCCAATCTTCTTCCACCGACTCTTCTCCCTGGTCTCGGATTCTGCCAGTCATTTCCGCCAGTTCCACATAATCCATCACCTTTATCTGCCATTCTTCCAAGGTAGGTAGCTCTTGTGTCTTCCAGTACTTTGCGATAAGAATTCTTGCTGCTGTTGTGGCATACATAAAGAAAGTTCTATCCTTCTTTGGCAACAATTGGCCGACTATGCCCAGGAGAAAGGCCTCTGGTTTCTTCAGGAAGGTATATTTAAATACCTTTTTCAATTCATTATAGATCATCTCTCAGAAAGCCTTAATCCTTGGGCACGTCCACCAAAGGTGAAAGAATGTACCCTCAGTTTCTTTGCATTTCCAACATTTATTATCGGGCAAATGATAAATTTTTGCAAGCTTGACTGGGGTCATGTACCACCTGTATATCATTTTCATAATATTCTCTCTTAAGGCATTACATGCCGTGAACTTCATACCTGTGGTCCATAACTGTTCCCAGTCAGCCATCATAATGTTATGTCCAGCATCTTGTGCCCATTTAATCATAACAGATTTCACTGTTTCATCTTGAGTATTCCATTTCAACAGCAAGTTATACATTCTTGAGAAATTCTTAACTTTAGGATCTAACAGTTCTGTTTCCAATTTTGATTTTTCCACCTGGAAGCCAATTTTCTTGTCCAAATTGTATGCCTCCATTATTTGATAATAATGAAGCCAATCTTGCACTTTATTTTTCAGTTTTTCAAAGCTCTGCAATTTCAATTTATCTCCCTCTTGTTCCAGAATTTCGGCCATTTGGCCTCCATATTGAGCTTTTTCAGAGCCTTCGCTTCCATCGGTGACAACCACCTTGGAGTTTTATTTTCAAGTAGATCCTTATATCTTGTCCAGACATTAAACAATGCTTTCGTGAACCCAAGGTCAATCCCACGGCTATAATTTGTTTTGAAGTGGAAAATTCCCCTGGCCCAATTGTTATAACAATTTTCGAAGATTTCCTCTAGAGGGACACTGTAACAGTCAAAACTTGTTGCTTTAAAAAATAACTCTTTTTAAGCCCCCATTTCACCAAATAAGCAACAATTTCAATTTCAGTTACTTCTCAGTCACTTTAAGATCACGAGGAGACAGCCAGAAACAATATATCTCCTTTGCAGAACTAGCTGTCAAAAAGTACTCTGTTCACAGACAGCGCATTTCGCAATACGGCAGTCTTATTGTCCATTGGCAGCCCGTTCCCAGGTTTTAAGCAGTGGATTCTTACTTCCTTTCCTATCTTTTGCAGGAAAATATAGTTCAAACCTTTTCCCCCTCCTCCCCTGCAACCAAGGGGGGAAATCACTTATTTTGACGTTTGGATTATAGTCCTTCCCGATCGACTTTCCAGGTCTTTAGCTTACAGCTTCTTTGCTTTAGTCTATTTACAAGAAATGGAAGGCGGACTTCCTGTTTATGCCTTCCCGCTACGGTACCGAATTAAGCCTTTTCCCCCCTTCCTTTCTTTTCTTTCCAATTTGTCCTACTCCCGGGTAGTTGCTTTTTGTAGTTGAATTGTCACAGGAAGAAGACAGCGCTCTCCGGTAATGGCTGTGCGGCTTCGCTCCGCGGAAGAAGCAGTTGACTGACAGCACCGTGCCACTCACCCCGCTTCGCTCCGGAGCCCGTAGTTGGGTCCCTTTGCAAATTGGGGGGGGCGCGAAAAGTGCCCACCGAGTCCCACGTTCACAGGCTTCACCCGCCTGTGATTTTTGAAGGGTCCCCGCTTCGCCGTAGCGGTACAGACCCGATTCCCGCAGAGCCGGTCCCTCCGAGTCAGAGGGAATCCGCCATTACCGATGGCACCACCCTGGAAGTCACCTGGATCTTGAAGCTTTCTATAAATGCATAATAAAAATGCAATACCAAATAAGCACATGCACGAAAATCAAACAGCAAAATGGGATTTATGTATTATGTGGACGAAGTTAAACACATGCTTAATCTGAGGTTCGGAGCAATAGTGGCTTTCATAAGTGATCACATTGTGCACTAGGGAGTATATAATAGGATTGAACATTGAATTCCCACCCACCACCGACCCCTTATGCATCTCTCTCTCTTTTTTCTTGTCTAGGTTTCAAATGTATACATCAAAAGGACATGGAATTGTTATGAATGCTGCAGCCTGTTAGCTCAGCATCCTGAAAGTTATTAAGTCTGGCGCACAATGCTAAACCTTTCGCCTGCAGTAGCTAACTCTATTCTTGATCTCTCTCCATGTTAGTCCAGTCCCAGGCATTTATGATGTCGCTGGAGCAGAGTGGCTTTATCAAAATCCTGCCTTGCCTTTTGTCAAAGCTGAGTTCTGTAGGTGGAATGATTTGATGGCTGCCTTGACGTAGAACTGCATTGTGCTCCAGGATTTCCCTCCCTCTGATGGGCTTTACCTCAGCTTACCTCTTATTACAATTTAACCCTCCGAAGCTAAGGGGAAGCTTAGCTGTTCATTGCATTTGACTTGACAGCAGTTCATCTCTCTCAACTTGCTCAACTTTTTCTAACTATATTAGTTCCTTCTACCTCTCCCTCCCACACACCCACTCGATTATGAAAGTGTATCTATGTTTGTTCTGTATCTCAGCCTCCTTCACAAGCACATTCAGTGGGGTGAGAATTATTTAACCATAATGTATTCTCTCTCTCTCTCTGTGTGGCCCTAATCTGAAGTGAGGATGCTCACTGGGTGTACAGCCCCCACCCCACACATGCTTGCCATATTCACACATTATCCCCAGTAGAATGAGATTGCACCAAGAGCTGTGCGTGCATTCAGGTGGTTTTCCTGTGAGCGGGAAGAAAATCTCTTACATTCTCCTAGCTCAGAAAAGCCCTACTGAGACTTGGATAAAATTAACCCTGGGAGGAAGATTTTATTGGGTGTTTTTTATATATATACTGTGCTGTTTTTATCCCATAGACTGCCTTGAACGCCCTGTATACAAAAGCACGGTTGAATTTTATCATTTAAATAAATCAATAAATCATTGCTGTTAAGTCCTTGTCAGCAAAGCCATTCTGATAGGCCCATTCGTGCTAACTAAGAACAGTCAAACATAACACACATGGCACATCCAGCCTCCAGTCCTTTGTCTGGAAAATAAAGTGCTCCTTTCCAAGAAATACTGAAGCTGACCACCTTTGCTTCATATTATTCTGCTTCCTCAAGCAGGCAATGCTCCAGAAGTTCAGAGATATGCATAGGTGGTTTCAGTGGGTGTGGAGCTCTTGCTGTGGTAAGAATAGCTGCTTGCTGAGAAACAGACGTAACCAGTATTTTTAAAAATAAAAATAAAAAACTTTTTTTTTTTATCACAACAGTGTTCATACCTAAAGTGGCCATCTGCTATCAGAACTAAGTGTGAATCGCCCCATATGAGCAAATCTACTTGTGGACACCGTTCTTCCTTTCCACCAACCCACCCGACCCACAATTCAATTTCTTATAGGGACTATAAACACATAAATAAAGCCATCTTATTGTCCTCATGTAGGAGGCAATGGACCTTGCTTACAAGAATGTAAAACTTTTACTCACAAGGACTTCGGTGAAAAGGGTGATTGAAAACGCTGTACACTTCCTAGTGCTGATAATCACAAATGCCAAAAATCTCTTTCCCCAAATGTCAAAACCTGCTCCCTGCTGTCTTCCCATGTATGAAAAATTGTGCAGCCAGTGAGCATTCAGTTGCCTTTAATGAAGGGGTAGCTGAAATCCTCATTCAATTTCCCATTTAAAAAAGGCTGCTTTTCTGCTGAGCTTGTCATGTCACTACTTCATTATATCTGTATAACGTACAGAGACCTACATAAAACTTTGGGGATTTCTCCCTTACTAAATTCTGGTACTGGCAAAGATGTTACTATTATTTAGATAAAGAGATGTCTATAAAAACAACCCTTGAAATAAGAAGACACTGGATGGGGAGGATAAAACTTAAGTTAGATTGGCTTCATGATCATATTTTGCAGGTGTGGCAAGTGAAAGCTGGGGGGAAAGGCATTGATTTCTGTCTAATTTCAGGCCAAGCTGAGCCACAGTTTTGCTTGTAGGAATGACAACACCATCTTGTTTTGTTGATAATAAATTCATGTATTCATTTTATGTTTAATCAAACTGTATCTGTGTGGATTATTTGAGGATTATGGCATTCTTTTTTTCTATCTTGCTTTCTTCATAATCCAGGGTAGCCAGATAGATCTTCATAGGAACAAATAAAAGATTAAGGCAATTCTTGCTGATCAGAAGACATAATTCTCCACCAGTCTCATCCTAATTTTCCCCTACCAATTAAATATTACTTGTATAGGTGTCCTCATGGATTCTGCTCTGTATACCAAGCTGTGTGTACCCTCATTTTATACATCCCTCCTTCTGTTTTGAAATAAGCCATAACCTGTAACAAGTTGGGATCTTGGATAGTGCTTCCAGGTGACCAGCTTCTTGAGCTCTTGTCCTGATCTGTTTACACAGAGGTTAGAAGACATCAGCTATTTAGTGAACATTAATTCTGCTTTGTTTGCATGGAGGTTAGCTTTCTCTGGGAAGAGGGGTTGATTTAGAAACCACGCTGAGAATTGTAGCTCTGTGAGTGGAACAGGGATCTCCAAACAATTCTCATAACAAGCTACAGTTCCCAGGTTACTTTGGGGAGTACATGACTGAAGTGGTATATGAAGAAGCCTGTGTGTTAATTTGTTTTATCTGTGGAGATCAGTGCACGCTGATCAACACACAATATTCGCAGAAAGGTTCTATTCCAATGGCATGAGTTTCATGATGACTTATGTTACCTGCTGCAGCCTTCATGCGCCTTCACAGCCTTTGTAACATATCACTAGTTATTTTCCACCTCTTCTGCCATTGAGGAATTTGGGGGTCCTTCTTTGTCTGGTTCTTCCCCCTTGACCTTACCGCCTTGGGGGACCTTGCTAGGAGTGCGAGATTCCCGACGGCTTTGCTCACAGAGTTCATAGGAATATGCAAGCCCACTCACCATGACAAGCTGATTATCCAGCAACTGTTTAAAGTGGTATATGTTCATGGAAGACATTCTTATCTGGCTGTGAGTGATCTCCAAGAGGGAGAAATAATAATAATAATAATTTATTATTTATACCCCTCCCATCTGGCTAGGCTTCCCCAGCTACTATGGGCAGCTTCCAAAAAAATATTAAAATGCTGTAATACATCAAACATTAAAAAATGGTATATATTGCTTTAAATGTATGAGGGTCAATGTAGCCAAAGTTGCATCAAAGCAAGTGTTAGAACACACTTTCCAGTGCATTTTCACTTTCCTTTGCTCAAAAAGTCTGATCTTTTCAGGAAGCAGGTTTGTTGTGCAAGGCCTCCCTCAGCTATAACTGGGCGATCTAAATTTGCGGGTATGTGATTGAATCCCACCCCAAAAGTGGCCTGAGAAAGAGGCAGAAAAATGAAAGCCTCTTTCACAGGGGAATATAAGTGTCATGCAATTGGAGGGCTGGTATAAGCACAGCACTACTCTAAACAAGGGATTGGGTAAATATGTTGATTTCAGTTTCTCATTTTTCCAGTCTTATGGTCAGTTCTCCAATCCTAAGATCATTTCCACAACAGTTTATGGATTTTTTAAAAAGATCCTCATGAAAATTCACCACCATTTTACTGCAATTTTCTTCTCATATACACAGTTTTGTATGCAGTTTTGCTTAATATACATTCCCCCCCCGTGAATATTCCATAATATGCTTTTTATGTTTTTTCAGTTATATTTGAAATTTTATGCACACTTTACCCTCATATACAGTGGTACCTCAGGTTAAGTACTTAATTCGTTCCGGAGGTCCGTTCTTAACCTGAAACTGTTCTTAACCTGAAGCACCACTTTAGCTAATGGGGCCTCCCTTTGCTGTTGCGCCACCGGAGCATGATTTCTGTTCTCATCCTGAAGCAAAGTTCTTAACCCGAGGTACTATTTCTGGGTTAGAGGAATCTGTAACCAGAAGCGTATGTAACCTGAAGCGTAATGTAACGTGAGGTACCACTATATCTCTTTCTGTACACATTACATTTCAGTATTCAATTTGAATTCCTAAGCATTGGCTTGGAAAGTACAAATTAGGTAGTTTCACCTTTAAAGGCAAAATGAACCAAAATTCTCCCCAGTTGTTACAAAAAAAAAGGTTTTTATTTTAGCAGACTTTCCCCAGCTTTCTTAAGCAATATGGAGTTAAATAATCTGAATCACATTTTCCCCTACCTCCTAAAAACAATGATGTACTCAGGAAGTGAAAACAGGAGGAAGAAATTCTGAGTTTGACTGATAACTTTACATGCAGGATGGCATTTGCAATCGGATTTTGCCAGTTGGCAAGGCTATGCTTTCCTGGGACTTTTTTGTACTGAACAGCCTGCTGTTGCTCTTCTAAAGCTGAATGTAACTGAAGTGGAAGGAAACCATGTGGTCCTTGAAGTTTTGTGCTGAAAAGGCTAATATTCATGTCAGTGGCTATCGGGTGGGGGTGGGGGAGAATGCCTCTCTTATAACAGTTAGCAGAGATTTAGATTTTAAAAATACAGTGTGGGAATGGGTGTTGTAAGAAGAGAAGAGGGAGAAATTTGGTTTGGTTTGCATTTTAGTGCAAGCCAACCTATTTCGTACTTACCAAAGCAAAACATAGATCTACAAATGCAACTTTCTTTCAAAATTCGCATTCTCTGAATTTTGCAATGCAGTCCTGAAATCAAAATATGAGTGCAAGATGGGCATTTTAGAGGAAAGCAAGAATAAAAATGCATAAGCTGGTTGAAATAATAATTTTTATTATCTTAATATTTATTCAATTTTTATACTGCCCTCATCTGAAGATCACAGGGCGGTTCACAACATAAAAATACAAAATGAGAACACAAAATGCATAATAAAAGCATGAACAAAAGGTACAAACCAGTAATCCTCCTTCCACAAACACATTTAAAAAGACATGGAATGTTAATCATCCAAAGGCCTGGTGAAAGAGGAATGTTGGCCTGGTGAAAGAGGAACAAAAGGCTAAACTAATAGTTAACAATGTGGTGACAGAGGAATTTAAGATAGAGAAAGGGACACGACCAGGCTGCCCAATTTCCCCATTGCTTTTTATTTCGGTCCTGGAGGTTTTGCTAAATATGATCAGAAGGGACCGTCTGATTAAAGGTATACAGGTCAGAGCCAAACAGTACAAATTGAAAGCTTTTGCAGATGATTTAGTATTGACGTTACAGGAGCCAGACTCTAGTACTAAAAGAGTATTAGAATTGATTCAGGAATTTGGTCATGTGGCAGGATTTAAGTTGAACAAGTTAAAAACTAAGGTGCTTGAGAAAAATTTAACACCGATTGAGAAAGAGAGGTTTCAGAAGGAGACAGGTCTAACACTGGTCAAGAAAGTAAAATACTTGGGGGTTAATATGACTGCTAAGAACTTAAACCTATTTAAAGACAATTATGAGAAATGTTGGTCAGAAGTGAAAAAGGATTTAGAGATATGGTCAAACTTGAAGCTTTCCTTGTTAGGTCGAATTGCTGTTATAAAGATGAATGTATTGCCAAGAATGTTATTTTTGTTTCAATCATTGCAAATCTTGGACAAAATGGACTGTTTCAAGAAGTGGCAGAGAGACATTTCTAGATTTGTCTGGCAGGGCAAGAAGCCCAGAATAAAATTTAAAATATTAACTGATGCAAAGGACAGAGGTGGATTTGCCCTGCCAGACCTCAAACTTTATTATGAATCAGCAGCATTCTGCTGGTTGAAAGAATGGCTGCTTCTTGAGAACACAGACATTTTGGATTTAGAAGGTTTCAATAATGTTTTTGGGTGGCATGCATATCTGTGGTATGACAAGGTTAAAGCACATAAAGCATTTAAAAACCATATTGTCAGGAAAGCATTGTTAAATGTCTGGATAAGATATAAGGACTTACTTGAAAACAAAACCCCAAGGTGGTTGTCACCGATGGAAGCAAAGGCTCAGAAAAGGCTCAATATGGAGGCCAAATGGCCGAAATATTGGGAAATTTTGGAACAAGAAGGAGACAAATTGAAATTGCAGAGTTTTGAGAAATTAAAAGACAAAGTGCGAGACTGGCTTCATTACTATCAGATAATGGAGGCATACAATTTGGATAAGAAAATTGGCTTCCAGGTGGAAAAATCAAAACTAGAAACAGAACTGTTAGAACCCAAAACTAAGATTTTGTCAAAGATGTATAACTTGCTGTTGAAATGGAATACTCAGGATGAAACGGTGAAATCTGCTATGATTAAATGGGCACAAGATGTTGGACATAATATTATGTTTGCTGACTGGGAACAGTTGTGGACCACAGGTATGAAATTTACGGCATGTAATGCCCTAAGAGAGAATATTATGAAAATGATATACAGGTGGTACATGACACCAGTCAAGCTTGCAAAAATCTATCATTTGCCCGATAATAAATGTTGGAAATGTAAAGAAACTGAAGGTACATTCTTTCACCTTTGGTGGACGTGCCCAAGGATTAAGGCTTTCTGGGAGATGATCTATAATGAATTGAAAAAGGTATTTAAATATACCTTCTTGAAGAAACCAGAGGCCTTTCTCCTGGGCATAGTCGACCAATTGGTGCCAAAGAAGGATAGAACTTTTTTTGTATGCCACAACAGCAGCAAGAATACTCATCGCAAAGTATTGGAAGACACAAGAGCTACCCACCTTGGAAGAATGGCAGATGAAGGTGATGGACTATATGGAACTGGCGGAAATGATTGGCAGAATCCGAGACCAGGGAGAAGAGTTGATGGAAGAGGACTGGGAAAAGTTTAAAGACTATTTACAGAAATATTGTAAAATTAATGAATGCTGGAATGATGTTGGATAGAAATTAAGTGGTCTTTAGTTGACATGTCACAAGGGATTATGAAAAAATGGATTATTAATAGGTAAAAATTTAAAATTACAATACTTTATGATTAATGACTAGGATATACAAAGAGGGGAGGGATTTGCTGAACTAACAAATTGAACTGGAATACAAAAAAGGGAGGCGTGAGGAGGTCCGGGAAATAAGCAAATGAAGGATAAGTAAAGGAAAGAATGAATTTATTTTTAATCATTTTTATTTTGCATTTTTCTTTTTTCTTTTTTTATCTTGTAATACTCTGAAAATCCTAATAAATATCTTATAAAAAAAAAATGAAAGAGGAATGTTTTCACCTGGCACCTAAAGAAATGTAATGAAGACACCGGGGAAGCTGCTCTGGGGAGACCATTCCACAAATGGGGAGCCGCCATGGAAAAAGCCCATTCTTGTGTTGCCACTCTCTTGTGGAAGATGCACACAAAGAAGGGCCTCAGATTATGATTGCAGGGTCAGGATCAGTTCATATGAAGGAAAACGGTCCTTGAAGAACTCAGAGGAACCCCACATTGAAGGCTCCACAAGGCTGAAGAACAAGCATCGCACTCTGGAAACCACCGTCTAAGTAGGACAGGAACCACCACAAAGCGGTACCACCCATCCCAAACTCAAGACAGCTGGTCCAGAAGGATGCCATGATCTCCACCTCTGCAAGGGCAGAAAGGTGCAAAAGCCCTGAATGCAAGGAATTTAAGGTAAAAAAACTGCAAAACTAAAAAGAGGGTCGGAATGGCCACTGCCAAATTTCCAGTTTTGAGTAAACTTCAACAGCATATATGCAGCCTGAATTTGGTAGATGGGGCTATATCAAATATATTAGGATTTAAATATGCACTTTAAAATAAATTAATCAATGAGCAGTTTCCTACCACCGCTGTAGCAGTTCTCTCTCTTTTGTTTCGTTTTAGACATCATTCGCTGTGTGGATATTGTTCAACAGTTAACATAAATTCCTTGGAAAATACTATTCTGGATGCTGTCTTTCAATTTAAATCACATTTATATTCAGGTGACGCGGTTGCCCTTTCACAGCATTGGAAATCCTTGACAAATAAGACAATTGTGTCAATTGTTCCATCTCAAATGAAAAACAAGCAAGCTTCAAGCTGCTAAGTTTATTGTGACAACGATGGTAGTACGTAAATCGCTTATCCCCACAGTAAAAACACAATGGGAAGATGTTCTGTCTACTGAGAAGGCTACCTTCTCTATTGTGTAACAAGCTAATTACTTCCCACACGTTCCTTCACCCTGTCAGTTACCAACCTGCCTTTGCTATGCAGGATGAGATATGTGCCCTAAGAAAGAAATTTTGAATACAACTAAGTCATAAGTTGGATAGTACCAATGAAGTATATAGTATTCTGTGTGAAGTTTCTCTCCCCCAATGTTCTCTGCTGTTTTCGGGGGGGGGGGTCATGGGGGAACAGAAACATTCACATGCAGAAAGTGTAAAGGACTTGTCCACTGGTGTGAATGAAGTGCAACGTGTCATTAAAGTGGTCAAAAAGCCGCAGTTCCACAACACAGGAACTGTAGTGTGAAATGAATGTTAGAAAATAGGACAAAAGCACTAATCAGGAAAAGTATTCCCCAAGTCTGAATGTACCCTAAGTGGAGGCTCAAAAGAAGCTGAAGAGCTCTACTGAGAGTGGAAAGGTTGAGTGAAAATTCTGTAAATTAATATAATATATAGTCTTGTCAGGGTTTTTTCCCCATAAAGAAAAAGTGAAAAACAAAGTCTGTTAGGTGAGCACAAACCTAGGTTGTCAAAGTATCAGACCTAGGTATGTAGCTCTTTGTGTCTATAAAAAATTATCTTGATTGCACATCCATAAAAAGGAACTGGCAAAATAAAATGTTAAAAAATCCTCCAGTTTAGCTTGCATATGAAAGACACAAACCCAAGCTTCCTTCTAAGCTTACTCCAACTTCTCAGTCATGCAACCTAGGCGCAGGTCTCCCTGGCAAGCCCTCAGCATCCTCCTGCACAAGCCACATGTATGTGGCTTTACTGATGTGCTGTGTGTATTGGGATCTGTGGACTGGGGCACTTATGCAACACTGACATTAGGACAACACGGCTTCTGAGACCCCCTTCCAAAGCCAGGCAGCCAGGAAAGAAGGGTCGTGGAAGATAACTGGCACATTCGCTGCCACAGCACAGCTTCATTGATGAGCACAGCAGTTTGGAGGGAGGGGGTTGCATTGCCACACCTCTGCTGCTGGAAGCAAAATGCTACAGGACCTTCTCCCCGCTCCTTGACCTTTGTGCCCCTCCCTCCAGGCATCTTGGCTCACCCCACAATTTGAGAGCCTCTGTGTTAAGCAATTCTTATTTACACGTCTTCCCTGGTTTGGGAAATGTTTCTAGACAGCTACCTGCCGCTCATTCGGACTCGTACCTTTGAGTTACAACTCATCAGTTACTCTTCAGAGTGAGACAAACAGTTGATAAAAGGTAATAAAACATTAATGGATGGAGGAAGAGCAGCTGCAATAATAGAAGACTAAGGTTAAATCAAGGCTGTGGCCTATGAAGCTCTTGACATTTTAGAAAAGGTTATCCCCCACCCCCCATTGTGATAAACAGACTAATCACCCACATGCTCCAAACAGCAGCACACAGTCTGAATTCAACTGCAGAGCTGGGGATTTGCTGTGCCAAGCTGCTTTTCAAGCAATTTGAGGTTTTCTTCCAATAGCCATCGTTTTTGTGATGTTGTGACCTGTAGCTGATTGTACAGGTACCTTGTACGATCATTCCAAAATGACATTTGACTTGAAATACAAGCAGGAGCGACGTTCCCTTATTGCCCTCCCTAAATGTTAATCCTACCAATGGTGTTCTGCCTGTGACAGTATTCCACTTATGGTGAATGAATCATCTGACCTAGGCTGCACTAAGAGAAGCTGCACCCTTTTGCTTCAACCATTGGGGTGGTGGTGGAGGAGTTATTGCTTCCCTTGATATAAAATGGTGAGGCAATACATTATTCCAAAGCAACCCCCATCATGATTATGAACCTAATCATAATAATGATGGCATGATGGTATTCAGTGCTGTTTTTCTAGAAAAATAGGTCCTGGAAGTCATCATTAGCACCTTCCTTCTTCTCTTAGAATGGCAACGGTGCTCACCTGAGAGGTGCCAGAACTGAGTTCCAGTTGGAAAAAACAACCCTGATGGTTATCATTGCACCTTGCCCCCTTTCCGTTTTTAAAAAGGAAAGAAACCAAGCGCATTGTGTGGTGTAGTGGTTAAGAGCGGTAGCCTCGTAATCTGGGGAACCGGGTTCGCGTCTCCGCTCCACCACATGCAGCTGCTGGGTGACCTTGGGCCAGTCACACTTCTTTGAAGTCTCTCAGCCTCACTCACCTCACAGAGTGTTTGCTGTGGGGGAGGAAGGGAAAGGAGACTGTTAGCCGCTTTGAGACTCCTTCGGGTAGTGATAAAGCGGGATATCAAATCCAAACTCTTCTTCTTCTTTAGTAAATTTATACAGAATTGGAAAGAACACTTTCTTCTATATGCATTGAGTGGTTTGTTTCTTCAGGATCTACATGAACGGCCTATGCTGTAAATCGCTGATGGCCTTTTGTAATTGTTATAAATGCATGGCTAATCTTTGACAAATTTGTTTTTCCGGGGATCTCTTCCCCAACTGGCGCAGCTCCTGGCTGTTTGCTGTTTTTCCCAAAATTACCTGCTATCTGAACAGGTCCAGAGGTGACCCTATTGGATCCTTTCCTAGTCAATAATATTTTTGATCATGTCATTGGCTAGCCTCTCCGTTCCCCTTTCAATCATTTAGCCAAGAATTAGACTGCTGGGCTAGACAGTGTCAGCCAAGAACATGTTTAGGTATTTACCCTGTGATACCTGCATTTGTGTATTACCGTGTGCAATTATTTAATTAAAGAATAATTATGTCAGCAACATATTGAAACACTCCAGTGAAGGAGCAATCCGCAACATCTGGACTCAACTGTGAACAAGAAAGGGAGGAAAAGCAATCTTTTTCTGTGTGGGGGAAATATATACCTCAGGCTATTTGGGAATATAGCTTATCTACATCCACAACATGTACACATTTGGCTCAGGAGGCAATTTTGGAGGTTTCATCTTTAGATGCCAGCATGGCAACTCTTCAGCCTTACCCTTTCTCTTTGCATGCTAGTGTTGCATCCCTCCCCCAGCATTGATGCCTAAAATGTAATCATGAAACCAGTGCTGTGCTGACATCAGTTTCCCAGTTTCCCAAATGTTTTCTTCTCCTGTGAAAGGGGTTTTCTGCCTCTGCTTCAAGGCAATTTAGCAAGTTTCTTCAGAATTTTGGTAGGTGTGTTTTAAGTTTACACTATCATTATATTTCTCCAGCACCCTGGAGCTGCCCATATTTCCAGATCCGGAGAAAGAAAAACCCCACGGGAGGCTTCTAAAGTAAATGAATAAAATAGTCAGGGTGCCACCACAGAACAGACCCCGTCAAGCAACTTCTGTGATGTTGAGATTATATTCCCAGGTACATGGAATGCATTCTCAACAGTTCATCAAGCTACTTTCCAAGGACTCAGCTATACAGCTGCAAATAAAACGTTTTAAGTGTGTTTTAAGTGCAATATACAATGTAACACTAGATGGTGATGGAAAATTCAGTGTATTTTTTAAAAAAACGCATTTTCAGAACAGTTTTTATATGTCTGTAGATTCCACCCACGTCTCTTTAATGTGTGTTTTGTCTATCTCCTTGCAGGGTAAATGGCATGTGCCCACACATTATAAAAAATGTGTGTAGTACTGGGGAATCAAAGTGCAAAGAGCAGCAAAATCGCTGGGCACACGTGAGAAATAAGCAGTGCCTGCTCAGTTCCTTGCACAATAGGGTCTGTTAGCTGCTGCTTTTGTTGCTGAAAGAAGCACCATGGGAGTGTGTTTAGAGCAGCTTCCACAGGGCAGCTGATTTATATGTGCATTGGCCCTCAGAGGCTCCTCTTTGAAATGGCAGAGCGGAGTGAGTACACCGAGTGGTGCTTTTTCACTGGCAACAAGTGGGCAATGTATAATTTGCGCCTGAGGCTGCGATGTGATTTAGCCCTCTAAAATGAAAAATTAGGCCCGGAGAGAGGATTTGACAAGCCACAGCTATATTAGCTGATCTTCTTCTGAATGCAACGGACGCGTTGAATAAAATGTTCAGTCCGAGTGCCTTTTATGAAAAGTGAACAGACATTGTGCATAGCTACCTTTGTAAAACTGAAGGCAAATAGCTTTTAAATCCACTTGTGAGGGTAATGTTAAGAGGGACAATCAGATTGATCTTGCATGCTAATTAATGTGAGTTTGGCTCATGTTAAGAAACAAAACAGCATCGCATCCATTTGATACACTATTCATGGAAATTTCTGCAAAACTAATGCCTGTGTATGTTCAAGAAAACTGCAGAGGTTGTCCATATACCCTTAGATCAGGTGTGGGGAACCTTTTTCAGCCCAAGAGCTGAAATGGGTCCAGTGAAAAAAATAAACAGGCCAAACAAAGCCATGTGTGAGCTAATATAACTCTACATGACAATTATGGAAGTGCCTGAAAGCTCTTACCATTGCTTATCCTTCCATTAATCTGTCAAACACAATATTCTGGCCCCAGCAAATATAGATTTGTAGGCTTCGGAAGGATTTATTTATTTATTTATATAAAATCCCCTGGGGTCATTGGATGTCAGCAGGATTTAGCTGGTTGGGATTAAGGAACAAACTCACAATGGTTCTTTAATATGAGACCCATGGAAATAAAGATGTTGGTGCAAATCACCTCAACACATGCCACCTGACTGAGGCTGTGAACCGCCCTGAGGCTTCCAGGTATAGGGCAGTATATAAAATCTAACAACAACAACAACAACAACAACAACGTCTAACTTCATATTAAGTCTTATTGAATTCAATAGAGCTTATTCCCAGGTAAATTGGATTAGGTGGGTTAGTTCCTTTACTGTGAACTGATGCAACATTCCACACTTATTTTCTTACACTTTATATTCTGTCTTTCTTCCATCATAGAACCCAAGCCATCCATTTGGTTTCCAGGATGTATTTCTTCACACAGTATGTAGACTATGGAATTCAATTTGCACGATATGTAGTAATGGCCACCAATGTGGTCGACTTTAAAAGAGAATTAGGCAGATTCATGGAGGATAATGATGTCAGGGGTTATTATCCATGATGGCTGTGTTCTGCTTTCACAGATAGGGACAGTTTGCTCTGTATAACTGGTGCTGGGACTCACATGGGAGGAGAGGGCTGGGCTCTTGGGTTTTGCCTGCAGGCTGCCTCTAGGCATCAGGCTGTCCGATATGAGAACAAGACACTGAACCAATTATGTTCTTACATAAGCATTTACCAGGGGGAAAGGTTGGTGGTCTTCTTCAAATGTCTGTCTCTGCCTATATTAATTGCATGAAATTCCAGCACATGTAAAACAGACAATTCTGGTGAAACCCTCTCCTCTTCACTAGCATTGAGGAAATATGATTGTACAAATAGTTTATGCAAACAGGGAGCTGAGAAAATTCATGGATATGATGGGGGGGAGGGTAATAACTTGCCTCTACCTATTACCAGTAATGAGATTTTTATTTAAGTTTTTTCATAATACAAGAAACTAGCTGCTACAAACAATACAAATAGAATAAGTAGAATATGGAGTCCTTACCACCCGCAGAAAACATCCTAGATCTCACCTGAGATCTTTCCTTTTTCCTTCTAGCCTTTCACCCTGAGAGATCGACATTTCCTTGACTCTAACCTGGGGTCCTCCATTAACCATTTACCACCCCTATGAGTATATGATCATTGGACCTTAATAAAGGCCCCAGACATAGGACTCCAAAGAAAAAAGAAAAAGAAGAGAGACAAGAAAGAAAGAAAGAAAGAAAGAAAGAAAGAAAGAAAGAAAGAAAGATCTTCCAATTTTCCACCTGTCGGTTACAGAGAAAAATGATTATTTAAGACATTCAGTCCATGCTAACACCCATCTTCTCCACTTTCTGTTAAACAATATTTCTTTTAAGTCAAGGTGTCTCAGAATCGTTCATTTATTTTTCTCATGAAAAGTTCAAGAGGGGTTCCTGAATTATTATTATTGGTATATGTCAACCATGTTTTCTCTTTAATATTAACTTTGGTGCCATTAATTCCAACCACCATTACTCCATATTGAATGATAATAAATTATTCTGTCTATATCCATTTCAAAATTTTACTCATAAATACAAACATGCCCCACTCCGGTACTTAATTCACACTCCCTATTCACATTTTGAGAGACTATATTGACAAAAGGTGAGGCATTTCACACCAGAGAAGCATAGACTGAGAGGTATGAGGGTGATTATTGACAACTGGCCATTTTACCATACATTTTATTCCACAGCTGTACACAGCAATTTCCCCCCGATTATTTAAGCAAGATATTGCAGATTGTTAAAGCTATGGTTTTCCCAGTAGTGATGTAGAAGAAGAAGAAGAAGAAGAAGAAGAGTTTGGATTTGATATCCCGCCTTTCACTCCCTTTAAGGAGTCTCAAATCGGCTAACATTCTCCTTTCCCTTCCTCCCCCACAACAAACACTCTGTGAGGTGAGTGGGGCTGAGAGACTTCAAAGAAGTGTGACTGGCCCAAGGTCACCCAGCAGCTGCATGTGGGGGAGCGGAGACGCGAACCCGGTTCCCCAGATTAGGAGACTACCGCTCTTATGGAAGTGAGAGCTGGAGCATAAAGAAGGCTGATCACTGAAGAATTGATACTTTTGAATTATGGTGCTAGAGGAGACCCTTGAGGGTCCCATGGACTGCAAGAAGATCAAACCTATCCATTCTTAAGGAAATCAGCCCTGAGTGCTCACTGGAAGGACAGTTCCTGAAGCTGAGGCTCCAATACTTTGGCCACCTCATGAGAAGAGAAGACTCCCTGGAAAAGACCCTGATGTTGGGAAAGATTGAGGGCACAAGGAGAAGGGTACGACAGAGGACGATATCGTTGGACAGTGTTCTTGAAGCTACCAAGATGAGTTTGACCAAACTGCGGGAGGCAGTGGAGGACAGGAGTGCCTGGCGTGCTCTGGTCCATGGGGTCACAAAGAGTTGGACACGACTAAATGACTAAACAACAACAACAGTGCAGATTACTAAGAGTCAAATTAGATATGACAATGACTGCACCACTAGCAATTGCACAATATTTCATTTGTTTGTTTCTTAAGAAATAGGTGTGGGAGGACCCAATGTGGATTAGGGCCAGCATGGTGGCAGCAAAGGGGTTGGACTAGATGATACTTGGGGTCCCTTCCAACTCTAAAACTCCACAATTCTATGATTCTATGTGTGTAATAGATGAAATTTAATCAGCAGCATCAAGAAGAGCTTTAGTGATTAGCAGATGACCAAAAATAATAGCTCAATCCTGGAGTTATTCAGGTTTTTAAACACATTTCAAAGTATGCTGCTCTGTCTTTTACTAGTTCCAAACACTAAAGCAAATAGAATTCAAGACTGAGGTCTGGGCAAGTAAGAAGATGGAATTCCACTTCTGAGACACTTTACTTTCCAAGATTTTAAGCACCTGAGAGGCTATTGGTCCTCTAATGTATACGCTATAAACAAGGCTGACCTCTGCGAAAGAAATAAAACCATAGGCAATCTTGCAGAAAATAGCTTTATCAAGGCAATTAGATTACCGAATGACTATTTGGGTGGCTTTTGTCAAAGATCAGAGTGTGTCACTAAGCTGCTATTAAGCAACTTTCATGCAGACTGTGTTAGAAAACATTTTCAAGAAGCCATAGCTATTTTATAAATAGCACAGGGAGAAAAGCTGGATTCAAAGTAAAGGGAGAAAGAAGCTTTAGAATGCGAAGGGGAATTGATTTTCTGTGAGGCTCCTGCCTGGTTCAAATGGTTTCCCCAATGAAATTCTTCTCTTGTGATGATATGCCAGCACCATGATCTTTGTTTTTTTCACTGGTGCAAATGAGTCTTTTGAGTATGGTCTACAGCAGAGTTCCCCCCAGATGTTTTGGACTTTAACTCCCATGAGCTCCAGCTAGCATGGCCAGTGGTCAGGGATGATAGGCATTGCAGTCTGCAACATCTGGAGAGCACCACATTGGCTGACCCCGTCTATGCAAACTGTTGATTAGATGCAGCGCAGGATTTAGGGCAGTGTAAGTGGTTCCCCTGCACAGAGTGCTGAGCTAAGGGTAACAAAATTGAGAAGATCCATTATTGAGAAGACCCACTTGGGGGTGCCACGTTTTGGCCACACTCAGGGTGCCATATTGCCAAAGATTGACCCAGTCTGCCCCTGATTAGATGGATTGAAACCCCCTCCTTGACTCTGCAGCCTATTCATAGGCAACAAAAAGGGTCATATGAGCATAGAGGAAATAGGCTTGGTTTGTATTGTATAGTGGGCCTGTCTGATTCACACTTCCCAAAACAATCTGCAAAACAAAACACAGGTATCCTTTGGAGTTTTCACTTTTCTGACTTTTGCAATGCAGTTCTACGAGAAGATGGCCCTTGGAGTCCCCTTCCAACTCTATGATACCATGTTTCTAACAACAAAGTGCACAAAAATGTGTTAATGGGGCAAAGCATGAATAAAATTCAAATATAGTATTAGTGAAAATGAAGCACCATGTGCACTATGTTAAGGGAAATTGCTTTCCAAAATGTGTTTATCAGGTGAAATGTGTATATGAGGAGAAATGCAAACTAAAATGCTGATATTATTTTCTGTGGACTCTTTTCAAAACTGCAAACTGATGCAGAAATGGAGGCTACTGAATTTTAAAATTAGAAAAGTGAGCAATTGAGCCAAATTGTAGCTGACAGATTTGTTCATCCTAAATGGGTGCCCCAATAATTTGAACACTGGAGAACCCAGAACAGGGGGAAAGAAAGCAGTAGGATATGGAGTTTAAGACAAGGAAGTGTTTGCATCATTTGACTGGTAAGTAGCATTGAGGAGGTGGTAGCAATAGCTGCAATAGCAACTGTTCCTTACCCCCAACGTGCCTGGTTGCAGCTATACACCCCTTTCTGCTCCACCTAACATGAATCTGGGACAAAGAAGCTCCTGTTCTCTCCCACCACTGGGGCAAAAGGCATACAACAATACCGAGAAAGAGATTAAGTTAATAATTGTAAGAGAAACCACCTGCCTTTTAGACCAGAACCCCTGACTGCTGTTTGTGTTCTTTTTTTTGATAAAATGGATAACAGTCTAACTCTATGTTACAGCAACCACCACCCTTCTAAAACAAGGGCAATATGATACAATAATCTTTACTTTGATTGGCTGCATTTGTCCTCAGTCATGTTGCCTCCAAGCCAAATCTGATTGGCCATTTGATGTTGTGCCGTCTCAATGTTGTGAACATGATCGCATTGTGAGGAAGAAAAAGCTCTAATTGCATTTCTAAATAATGGCCTCCATCAAGTGTCCGTAGAGGCAGTGAATGGTGGGATAAAAAGGTAAGAATCGGGGGTGGGGGTGGGTTCCATATGCTGTGTTCTAAGCTCCAGCATCCTGGCCTAGAATCAGATACATCCCATCAGAGTGCTAGCCCAGACCTTACTTAGTGAAACTTTACATACATACAGGCGTCAATGAGGCTAAGCACTGAAGTCAGTTCAAACAAGGTCATGGATGGTTGGTTCGCTTCTAGTTTCCAACACTGCCTTGTCTCAGTCCAGGACTGAAATCAGTTTTCATGATTCTGGACCTGAAGTTCTCTACTTTGTAGAAGGAAGCTCTCATTGCTTCTTGACAGAAGCTTGTTCCACCCCTCCCAACATAATCACTTTGTCGAACACAACGACTGAAGCCATGCTGTCACACTTCAGGATTAATGTGTTAGCCAAGCTGAAACAAAATTGGCAGAGTTCACACCATGATGAAAACAAACGCTCAGTAAGAAAAATGAATTGATGCTGACTTAACAGCCTGTTATACAAATAAAAATTGTCACTCACAATTATTATGCATGTTGTGTATGAGTCATTGAGGTTACAGTAGCTTATCCCATTTTCTCTCTCGTCAGCAGTCATATAATACACACACACACACACACACACACATATATATATAATGAAATCTTCAGACTGGTTTCATCCTCTGCATCTGCCCTTAATCACTGTAACATCTGCAGAATGTTCTCCTGGTAGAAGTTTCTCAGCACATGCTTCAAAGGTCATTAATGATTCACTGGTATTTTCTTTTTGCTCCTGGTGTGCAGTGACTTCCTAGAAATGGCTCCTACATTCTCTGTGATAAATATATATTTGTTTAAGCAGCACGGGAACTATCACAGAGAGGGAGAGTGTGTGTGTTTTCCCATTTCCCCCAACTTGATTTCCATTGTTTTCATTAATACCATGTTGATGGGGTCTGCATCCAAAGCAGGCAGCTGAGGATGGAATTGCATGTCATGTGCCCTTGTTCAGTTCTCCCCTTCTTGCTCTGCAACATGAAGTAAAACCTACACATCTCCCCATGTCATCATCACTCTCTGTGTTGTAAAAATGTGTGTGTGTGTGTGCGCGTGCGTGTGTGCGTGTGTGTTTCTCAAAATGTCTGGACAAACAGAGTCCACAAAAGAGAGGTTCTCTGGCTTTTATATACAATAACACATCACAGGACATATGTTACAAGATGGAATTTTTACCCAAAAAAAGTTTTGCAGTACAATGGCCCTAGAAAACTTTTGCAAACACGTCATTGGAATATTTCATGGAATTAAGCCCATCTCATAATGGTGAGGGATTGAGAC